CGGGCGAGGCCAGTGACCAGCAGGGTGTCGGACCCCAGAAGACAAGCACGGTTGGCAGGGGAGAGCTCTCTTCCCAAGGCCCCTCTGTCCCCAACCCAGCCTCTGCCAGCCCCCTCGGCTGCTGCTGCCCAGCCCCGCAGGGTCCCTCCTGCAGTGCCAGCCCCCCAGGCTGCCCCCACTCAGCCTCCAGAAGAGCCCCAGGCTGCAACCCTCACCCAGCTCCCACAGGCCCCCCCAGCTGCCATCCAGTGCCCTGTGGAGATGTCCCCTGCTGCTGGCCCTGTTGAGGAGTCGCCCGACACCTGCCCCTCAGAGAAGGCTGCAGAGCCAGACAAGGAAGCAGGGGAGAAAGCCCTCCCAGAGCCTAAGGCAGCTGCTGAGCAGGAGACACCTGGCCAAAAATCCACCTCCCAGGCTGTGGTACCACCAGTGAAAGCAGGACGAGAGAGCAGTCTGCCCACGAAGGCATCTGCTGTGCGGCCATGGAGGCACCAGCCACTCCTCAGCCCAGCACAGCCCAGTGACAGCAGCAAGGACATCGTGCAAGCCTTCATCAGCGAGATCGGTGAGTGGGAGGGCTGCGGCGCACTAGGTTGAGCATGCCAGCCAGCAAAGCTGTGGTGCTGCTGGCAGCCTGGGTATCAGGACTGGTTTCTGTCACTTCTGGGGCTGAGGGTGACAAAGCTATGTCCATGGGCTTCCAGTCTGTTCCCAGTGCTCTGCTAGGATGCTGCCTCCAGTGGATGGTCTGGGTCGGCTGTGCCCAAACTAGTCTCTCCTGGGGCTGCACAGCCAGGTGCTCCTGTCCTTGCTCTGTGAGATACAGAGCTGCTGCAGACTTAGCCACTGCTTCTTCCCCAGCACTCGCTCTGTTATCCACGAAGGCTGGTGCAGGAGTAGGATGGGGCTGAAGTGCATCCCTCTGGTGCCAGGATTATTTTGGCTGACTTGACTTGCTGTGTTTTCTCCCTGCCCAGGGATTGAAGCCACTGACCTGTCCAGCCTACTGGAGCAGTTTGAGAAGTCTGAAGGTGCGGATGCAGTGTGCCACCCCCTGTGAGGCTCCCCCTGTGCCATGCCAGCCTCCTTGGGCTGCCCGTGCTCCCTGTGGTGGGGTGGGAATGGGGGGCAGGGTGCAATGGTGCTGCCTGTGGGCTGGTGTTACCCTGCCCAGGTTCCTTGCCCTGGGACTGTCTCAGCCTCTGTCTCCTTCTTGGCCTGTGAAAGCAGCCAGGGGTCCCTAGGGTGGCCAAGGGGGTGGTGAAGAGTCTGTAAAGGAAAGGGGATGTGCAGCTCCTCTCTGCAGGAAGCTGTGTTTTGGGTGCTGTAAAACCTCTCCCCAGCTGTGCCTGGGGTGTTCTGTGTCTCTTGCCCTGCAGCCTCTTGCCACCCTCACCTACCTGCTCTCTTTTCAGCCAAGAAGGAGGAGGCTCCTGTGCAGCGCCTCGAGGACAGGCGGCCAATGGGGAGCTCCGGGTGAGTACCAGGACCTTGCCAGCTGGTGCCCATCATGGAGTCCAGCAGGGGGAAATGGCATGGGCCAGCGCACAGTCCTGGCAGGGTGTGAACTGTGCTGGGGTTGTGTTCACCAGCCCAGGAGGAGCTGAGCTCCTTGATGGTTTGGGGCCAGAGCTGGCACTGAGGGAGGGAAAATTGGGAGAATCAGCGATGAGCATGACTAGGCTTTGCAAGTTCCATCCTTACAGCTCTCTTGGATCCTCTGTCCCCATGGACAGGCCAGTGAGGCAGCTTGAGTGGGTATGGGTGCTGGGACTGGGCTCTGCCTGTCACATTTGACAAAGCTCCTTTCCCCTTCTCAGGCCTGAGATTCAGC